TGCAATATCCTATTCCCAAAAATTATAAAGAACTCAGATAGTTCTTGGGACTGGTAGGATATTATCGACGATTCATTCAAAATTTCAGTGAACTTACCCAGCCATTTACTTTACTTTTTAGAAAAAACGCGCTATTTAAATGGGAAAATCGACAATAAATAAATTTTGAAAAACTTAAAAATATATTATCAAACGAACCTATATTACAGTACTGATTTTGACAAAGAATTTTTATTAACGACAGACGCTAGCGACGAAGGAATAGGTGCAATTTTATCACAAGGAAAAATAGGTAGTGACCTTCCCGTTGCTTATGTTTCTAGAACTTTAAATAAAGCAAAACGCAATTATGATACAACAGAGAAAGAACTCCTAGCTATTGTTTGGTCAGTAAAACATTTTCGACCATATTTATATGGTAAATCATATAAAATAATAACTGATCATAAACCATTAACATGGCTTCTTAATGTCAAGGATCCATCATCACGTTTAATGCGCTGGAGATTGAAATTAGAAGAATATAGCTATGAAGTAATATATAAAGAAGGAAACCAAAATACTAATGTAGACGCACTTTCTAGAGTCTCACAAGTAGCTGTCATACAAGCAGAGGCTTCTGGCAGTAAAGATACGACCCCCAATTAAAATTTATTTTTACAGCACGCTTTAAACGAAGCTTTGTGGAAAACAGACAATATAATTCCCCAGACCTCGGGTAGCATTAAAGGATTATTAGTGAAAGAAGAATATTCATCTCCTAGAGTCAAAATTACCTTATCTAAAACGGACGGAAATAAAGCAATAGATTTAACACTCATACTAGGTGATATTAAAATTGCGAAAGAAAACCATTTGACAGTAATAAAATTAATTACACGAGAAAACCAATCAGCACTAATCAACTTATAAACCATATTTAACTGCTTAGTTAAGCTAAAGAAATATCTTATAGCTCATAATAAAACAACAATTTCAGTAGCACCACTAAGAAAGTTAACAAAATAAAAATTTGTCAAATGATAAAATATCTATTTAAAGATACCCCCATTAAAGTATATCTATTACAATCCTTAGTACAAGAAGTTGTTGATCTCGCAACAAAACTAAATATTCTTAAGGAACTGCATAACTCTAATGTCGGAGGACATAAAGGCGTTACAAAAACTCTTACAAGAATATAGCAATACTATTCTTGGGACGATATAAAACGGGGAAGATTACGTAAAAGCTTGTCAAGATTGGTGTTACGTCATGCTGACTCAGCGAACCCTAAAACTCTTATATAAATAAAAGAAATCGAATTTATTTTTACTGATTATACGTCCGAATGCGCTCAGGCGTGTTACCACACGACCTATCTCACGAGTTATCACACGAACAATTTCCAGAAATTTTGATACCCCGAAAATACTAATAATCTTAATCCAATCCCTAGTTGGTTTCCCACGAACTTAGTCACTGATACCAGCATCACGACATCCTTCCTATAAATATCGATATTTATCCTTTAAGATAGATGCCACGTTTTTTTATTTACAAAGATTTTCGAAACCCTTTTATTGTCACACTCATCATATCTCTTATCTTCTGGAATATTTCCCCCAAAACCCCACTCTCTCAACCGAGCTGACTTTTTGAGAAAAGTCGAAAGCCTCGACCACTTCTCGCCAATCCGCCAGCCAGGACAGAAGCCTCTCTCCAGCACCCCTTCAGGGTCTTCTAATCATCTACCCAAGTTGTGGCGTAGACTCACCAGTATTTTTCAATTATTAATTTTGTGCAACGTCTTGGGCCCTTGTGAGAGATCCTGCCAGAACTAGCAGCCTGTCATTGGTGCGGAACCTGAGTTATCGTGCATAGAGACGTTTCCCAGAATCAAATAATATCAGAGAAAATCCAGCAGTAAGTCATTTATATTTTCTTTCATCTGAGTGATCTCTTTTCTTTTCATTTTGTTCACCTCCTTTTCTATTCCCCTTGTCATTCCTCCTTAACCGTAAAATACAATTGCAGTGGCTCAAAATTATCTAATGCAAACGGACCTGACTACTGCAGGAGAGTACGAAAACCGCGAGGATTTAGAAATAGCTTTTATAAATTTTACATTACAAGATCGTCCGGATTATATTGTCCGCCCTAACGAACCAAAAATCCCGAGCTTATTATTCTTTCCAGATTCCCCTCCCATATCTTACTCTCCTACATCCTTGAGTCCCACTGAGAACCGATCTCCGACAACCTCTCCGTTCCTTAGAAGTCCATCCCCTATACCTTCCCCGTCGACCTCACCATTACGAGGGGGCACACGTGGTTTCCACGCGGCGTTACTTCGCGGGCTCATCCCCATTTATTCTCCTTCTCCCTCAGAGGCGTCCTCGCGACGATCCTCTCCCTCACCGCCAGCCACCCCGATACAAGATCTTTCCTTATCCGAATATCCCTCGGACTAATTAAGAATTCTCGCCAGAACCCCACCACACCACCACACCCATGTAATTACACAACACATATGTATACATAATAAAATCGTACAAATTTTATTTCTTCATAAACTTCCGCTTAATCATCAATAAAACAAATTATTTGTAATTGCAATCCAATTACGATTTCCGACTAATTATTCTCAACAAAAATTCTCCCTTCCCTCAACCGTCGCTCACGGTCCTATCCCAGGTAAAAGGATTCAGTTCCTTGACCTAAATCAAGGACCATCGGCGTACGTCCGCGTCAGATAAAGGGATCGCTCCGATCCTTGATCTGTACCGCTGACTTGCGAGTACGTCGGAGCTTGCGAAAGCAAGCGCCAAGTTGCGCTCCTCCTCCAGGACGTAACAATTGGCAAAAACGAAAATTAATACGCATAAAAACCAAAGCACCTATGTTAATTACAGACACGCCGAGTGAAGCTTTTGAAAAGGTAGTGATAGACATCGTAGGGCCTCTACCAGAAACACTAAATGGAAATAAATACATATTAACCACTCAGGACCAATTAACAAAATTTTGTACATCTTATCCTTTATCTACAGCTAACAGCGTAGCTATCGCCGATGCAATAGTAAACAAATATATTTTCATGTTTGGATCCCCTAAGGAACTGCTTTCGGATCAAGGTAGCAATGTATCAGGAGAATTGATGAAGGAAATCGCAAGAATTTTTAAAATAAAACAAATAAAAACTAGTGCTTATCATCCACAATCAAATGGAGCACTAGAACGCTCACATCATGTTTTAGCTGAATATTTGAAACTTTATATTAACAAAAATCAGGACAATTGGGATTCGTATTTAGAGGCAGCAATGTTTGTGTATAATACATCATATCATGAGGCCACTAAAATTTCACCTTACGAACTAATATTTGGTCGAAAACCGCGGTTACCCTCAACAGTGGAACCACGTCAAGGAATCACACATCGAGAATTCCTCGTAGATTTAAACGATAGATTAGCGTACTTACGAAAACAGGTAAATGAAAATTTAATTAATTAACTACTGGTGTCGGGAAAGCAATGTACACGTTTTGCCTCTTTCTTGTCCGACGTTTTTACTGAATCGAAATTTTCCGTGATTGGTCTATGCTCTTAGATCCAGTCAAGAATAAGAGCATACAATAATGTTAAATTGAATTAATTTTACTGATACTTCTAAAGACAGTATGAAAAAATAAATAAAAAGCAGAATCATTTACCAGTGAGAAAGAGAGACTCGGTGAACACAAAGTTATCAGTCTGCGCACAGATTGTTTGCTGAGAAGGACACCTTTAACCCGTAACTGCTGTGAAGCCATTTTAAGTACGCGCACACTGTTCACTGGTCAAATTGACTGGTAGGAAACGGAATTGATGAATATCTTGACAAATAACACGACCACACAACTGCGCGTATATCAGTCGACTGACATTCAGAATGTAAGAAAATATACTGACGGATGAATACGCAACTAGAAAATTAACCGCGTTATTTAAATTTCAAATAGTTCAATGGTCAAATTGACCGGAGAACAGCAGTTACGGGTTTAAAAAAATGTCATGATTACGTCAATTCAAAAGTCTTTAAAATGTCTTAAATGACGTCATTTTTATGTAATAAATGATACGTCTGAAAAAAGACGTCTTTGTGATATCATAATTTAAAGTCTTTAAGACGTTTTAAAAAAGACGTAATTATGACGTAATAATTCATATGTCTAAAAGACGTCTGAAAAAAGACATCATTATGATATCATAATTTAAAAGTCTTAAAGACGTCTCAAATAAGAAGTCTGAAAGACGTCTTAAACAAATCGTCTTAAAGACGTCTCAAATAAGAAGTCTGAAAGACGTCTTAAACAAATCGTCTTAAAGACGTCTCAAATAAGAAGTCTAAAAGACGTCTTAAACAAATCGTCTCAAAGACGTCTCAAATAAGACATCTAAAAGAAGTTTTTTGAACAACGTCTTAAAGACACTTGAAATAAGACGTCTTTCAGACGTCTTTTGGGCAACGTTTTAAAGACATTCGAAATTAGACGTCTTTTAAACATCTTTTGATAACGTCTTAAAGATGTCTAGGATAAGACGTCTTTAAGACGTCTTTTAGACATATGTGTTATGTGGGTTCTTTCTTGTTATAACAGACTGCAGGTTGTATTGACATTTCGTCCCACAGCAGTACTACAAAAAGATCAACATCGCTTTTAACTTCTTTTGCTGCCATTGACAAATATTTAATCATCCCTAATAACCAAATCTCCGAAACAGATTTTGCCAGACGCCTGCTGCAGGAGTTGATGACAAACTGATGTCAAAATTAATACAGATTCTGCAATATCAGAAGATGCCAGCAGAATGCCAGCAGCATTGAAACAAAATCTGATACAGAAGTTTGATATCAGATTAACGTCAACATTTGAATAGATTCTGTTAAGTAGCCTGACGGCAGATTGACGACAGAAAGGAAACAGATCCTGCTGTGCGCAGTCTGACGGCAGATTGGCGGCAGAAATCAAACAAACGCGGTTTAATACTATGACGGCAGATTGGCGGCAGAAACGTAACAGATCCTGACGTACGCAGTCTGGCGGCAGATTGACGACAGAAATACAACAGATTCTGCAGTGCGCAGTCTGGCACCAGAATGACGGCAGAAACGTAACAGATCTTGCTGTTCACAGCCTGACAGCAGACTGGTGACAGAAATACAACAGATTCTGCCATATTCATTTTTACATTCCCCCTCCCCCCTTCCCATTCAGTCATGCACATTACGTGAAAGTAATTATTAAAAAACAATACAATATACGAACGTAATTGTTTTTATTTATCACACAAGACAAAACGAGACAGCCAATCAGATTCACAATGGTGTTTACCATAAATGGCGGAACACGAAGGCGACGATGTTTCTTCTCATAGGAGAATAAATAAATTTTGTAATAAATTTTGGAAAATATGTTATTGCATAAGGAGGTGCTGTGGTTATTTATAGATATACAATAGGAAGAAATGTATTTGAATATTTAAACAATCGATATAATTGATCGCAAATATCTTTCAAAAAAGATTTATTAATTCATATTTCTCTTACGTAATGCAGTAACTTAAATTAAAATTAATTATATACTAAATTAAAATATATACTTCTCTCATCATGCAGATTTTATTACTTTTCCTTATTATTTTATATAAAAATAATTATTGTTAAATGGAAAATGTTGCGACATATAATTTATCTCAAATGTTATTTTAAAAATTTGCAAAAACACATTCTTCAAAATTGCTGTCTTTGATCATTTGAATTAAAGTTTTACCTGTGGTGCTACATCATTATTCTTAATGATCATATTCACGAATTGTTGCCGTATCTTTGCACTGTTGTCCACCCTGTTTCTACGCTTCGTAGTGCACAAACAAACAGTTTTCTCTTGGCTTGCCTACTTATATATGTTGCATAACCTTTTCAGACGTCTTTTATTCCTCTTCAATTTGATGGTGCTTTCATACAATCTTCTTGCTATTGGAGACAAGGCATTTTTCCGCTTATGCTCTTGAAGATCAGGTCGGCTCCAGTTTTTTTGTTATGTCAATTCCATTAACTTATCCACTTTGTTTCGTAGGGTCGCTATTTCTTGCGCCGATTTTTTAATTTCTTCCTGGTTCTCTAATATATGTTCCTGTTGCCGCATTAATGTTTCCTCATGCAGCAACAATGTTTCGTTGTGTTGTAACGTAATTCTGCTAACGTAAGTCTCTGCTGTACTGCTTCTAACTCGTCCAATTGTGCATTTTTCTCATTAATATATGTCTTTCCTGTCCCTTCTTGCATTTCTTGCGCTACGTCTGATGCAGTTTCCACATTATTTTGCATCAAATGGCACGTCTCGTCGTTTGATGGCACATTAATCGAGGGGACAGCATCGCTCAGTAAGACACGCAACTTGAAAGAGCAGTTGTAATCGCTGTCCCTAAAATGGTTGTAGCATACTCGTAACTTTTTCTCCTCAGATCCCTCCACTGGCTCCATTTTCAAATTCTTGAACCATTGTAGCCTACGTTCAGCATTTCGTGGGAATTTATGCGATGGTGCTGTCTTCCCTGTCGAACATTCTGGTACACAACATACTCGTACCATCTTGATCCCGCTGTTATGAGACCTATAAAAAAAATAAACCTGTATTTAGTTAAACAGATATTTGCATCATCAGTATACAATATTACAGTATCATGCATACTCAAATAAAACAAGTTGTTTGTCGCTAACAGGAAAAAGATTTTGGTGGTTCTTGAGTAACTGTTTCTTCTTGTTTTTTCTTCTTCCCTTGTTTTCTTCTTGTAGTCCTTCTGCAAGAGAGAGAGAGAGAGAGAGAGAGAGTACATAAATATCTTCATAAATTATATATATATATATATATATATATAGTAGATTCCAAGAAATTTTAGCTATCTATGTCTGCATACAGCTCATGTTCAAGTAGCAACCAGCTAACATGATTTGACATTATGTTCAAGGATAGTCATAACATATTCTTCTTGTTTCCAGTCATCAATCTGCTGAAATAGCTTGTTCACAAGATGTATCAAATTTTTTAGCAGCAAATTAACAGCAGAAACTAAGCACAAACTTGATGCAGGCATGCATCGCTAAGAATTTCTACAATCTTTATCAAACTTGCTCTTGCTATGTTAGCATATTGCAAAGCTTACTTTTATTTTTTACTTATTAGTCTCTGTTAGTAACAAATGAACAATTATACTAATGCATAATATTTATATATAAATACAATACAATATATAAAAACAAAACTTACATTTTGGTTGTCGTTACTGGCAGTAATACTAAAAGTTTTTCCTTCTCGCACCTGCTTCTTCTCGTGTTTTTTCCTCGTAACACCTCTTCTTCCTAACACTTTTTTTTTTCTTATTGAAGGCTTTAAAGCATTAAAGCTTGAAAGTATTAAAATGAATGCAACTGTAGCAATATGGCGGCCACAAATTAGTTCCGATTTCTCACATGTCCCATCGCAGAGAGCGCTGCTAACGCTAATCATTTTTGCTCCATAAGAGTTTGCACGTCCTGGGTGTACCCATTCGCCATTCTCCTAAGCAAAATTAAGGGAATCCTGGAGTCGTCTGTTTTAAATGCATTAGTATTAGGGTACATATGAGTAGTGCATAAGTATTGCCATGTGTATGTGTATGAATACCTTCCAGCTTCCACTGTAAAACATAAGATATTTTGTCACGTTGACGATATACAGGGTTCTCAAAAAGTCTTCGAACGATAAAATATCTCGAAAACAATCAGTTTTTGGAAAAAATGTTTCAAGCAAAAGTTGTAAGGTTTATAATGGTCTATTTACTGATCTTATCAGTTTGATCTTGGCTAGCGTCAACAAGGTCAGGGCACAGTCACCTTGAACTTTTCAAATGGAATGCCCTACTTCTTTTGGCATATTCTTATAACGTATTTCAAGAGCTTTCCAAAATATTACAACAAAGTATATTTTTGTTAAGTACATCCCGAGTTATGAGGCTTCAAAGTTACAATAACGTCTGCATTAGTATTACCCAAGGTGTATCGCGTGGAGGTTGCACGATTGGATTTACACCTCTTGCGTGCGTGTGTGCGTGCGTGCGTGCGTGCGTGCGTGCGTGGGCCAATTAATTTTAACACACACACGTACACACGCGCACACACACACACACACGCACATAAGAGGTGTAAATCCGATCGTGCAACCTCCACGCGGTACATCTTGGGCTATGCTAATGCCGACGGTACTGTAAATTTGAAGCTTCATAACTCGGGATGTACTTAACAAAAAGTACTTTGTTGTAGTGTTTTGGAAAGCTCTTGGAATACGTTATAAGAATATGCCAAAAAAAGTAGGGCGTTCCATTTAAAAAGTTCAAGATGACTTTGCCCTGACCTTGTTGACGCTAGTCAAGGTCAAACTGATAAGATCTGTAAATAGATCATTTTAAACCTTACAACTTTTGCCTGAAACATTTTTTCCAAGAACTGATTGTTTTCGAGATATTTTATCGTTCGGAGACTTTTGGGAACCCTGTGTATAACCACCAAATTGATATGGAATATTCCTTGAACTATTATCGAGGTCCCTACAGAGCCAGATTTTGCAATCCAGCTGTCCAAAGTTTATGAGAAATAAATGAGTCCGCCATACCAAGCATCGCAGCGAATCACTCCAAGAATTATTTTACAAGATGCAAAATTTCGCCTCGTTAACGATACGTATAATTGTTAAACTGTTATAGTATCTTCCTTGAACTATCCCTGAGGACCTTACACAGCCAGATTATGCAATCCGGCCGTCCAAAATTTATAATATATATAAATAAAGCATCAGCTGTACCAGGAGTTGCAGCGAATCAGGTAGAATACCATTTTACAAGAAGCAATATTTTGCCTTGTTGACGTAATATATGTCAATGAACTTGTTTTAGCATCTTCCTACAACTATTCCCGAGATCTCTACAGAGTTAGATTTTACAAACAGGCCGTCAACAATTTATTATACAATTAAAGCGTTAGCTGTACCAAATATCGCAGCGAATCAGGCGGAATATAATTTTACAACGGAATACAGTTTACAAGGACAAATATATTGCCTCGTTGACAATATATATAACCGCCAAATTATTATGGTATCTTCCTTGAACTATCCCTGAGAACCCTACAGAGCCAGATCTTGCAATGCGGCCGTCAAAAATTTATCATACATTAATAAAGCGTTCGCTGTACCAAGCGTCAAGCGAATCACTCGAAATAGCATTTTACGAGATGCAACATTTCGTCTCTTTGACGATACGTATTATTACCAAATTGTTGCAGCATCTTCTTCGTACTATTCCCGAGATCGGTACAAAGCCGGATTTTGCAATTCGGTCGTCAAAAATTTATAATATATAAATAAAGTGTTCGTCATACCAGGCGTTGGAGCGAATCAGTTGAAAAATCATTGTAGGAGATGCAAAATTTCACCTCCTTGACGATATGTTTCACCACCAAATTGTTATAGCATCTTCTTTGAACTATCTCCGAGAAACCTACAGAACTAGATTTTGCAGTCAGGCTGTGAGAAATGTATCATAAATAAATAAAGATGTATGAAGAGTCGGAGCGGATCACGTATAATAGCATTGTACAAAATGAGATATATTCCTTCACTGATGTAATATATCATCATCATATTGTTATAACATATATTTAAAACTGTTCCCAAGATCCTCACAAAGCCAGATTTTGCAATCGGACTGTCTAACTTTTATTATAAATAAATAAATATGCATCAAGCGTCAAAGTGGATCACGCGAATACAATTTCACAAGAAGAGATATTCCGCCTTGTTGGCATAATATTGGGTTATGTAAAAAGTTTTGAGCGTTTTCCGCTAGATGGCTTTAGTGAGGTCATATCTCACGATGTATACATCGCATCTGGTCATTCTATACAGCGACTTAAAGGTGACATAACGCTTTAAAAAAAGTTCTTTGACAGTTTTGTGTTTGGTGAAACCAGTTGTGTGTTAGAGCGTTCCAAAATGGAGGTAAAAGAATAGAAAATTCGATACATTCTTCAGTACCACTACGACCAAAGAGAAAAAGCGGAGCAGGCGGCCAAAAAAATTTGTGCTGTTTATGGACCCAATACAGTATCGAATGCAACAGCAAAGCGGTGGTTCCAACGATTCCGTTCTGGTAATATGGACGTCGAAGATAAGACACGCTCTGGTAGGCCAATCGTTGAAAATGTCGATAAAATCATGGAAATCGTCGAGTCGGACCGGCATGCGAGCACTTATTCCACTGCCCAGGAACTGAAGATTAGCCAGAAAACCGTTTGAAACCATTTGCATAAAGCTGGTCTCAAGAAGAAGCTCGATGTATGGGTGCCACACGAATTGACGCAAAAGAACCTTTTGGACCGAATTCATGCCTGCGATTCTTTGCTGAAGCGTAACGAAATCGACCCATTTTTTAAGCGGATGGTGACTGGCGATGAAAAATGGGTCATATACGAGAACAACAGGCGAAAAAGATCGTGGTTCAAGCGCGGTGAGCCGGTCCAAACGATCGCCAAGCCCGGATTAACGGCCAAGAAGGTTTTACTGTGTGTTTGGTGGGATTGGAAGGGAATCATCCACTATGAGCTGCTCCCATCGGGCCAATAACTCAATTCGGACCTACACTGTCAACAACTGACCAGATTGAAGCAGGCGATCGACGAGAAGCGGCCAGAATTGGCCAATAGGAAGGGTGTTGTGTTCCATCAAGACAATGCCAGGCCGCACACATCTTTGACGACGCGCCAGAAGCTCCGAGAGCTTGAATGGGAGGTTATATCGCACTCGCCGTATAGCGCAGACCTGGCTCCAAGCGATTATCACCTTTTCAAGCATTTGCAAAATATTCTTGATAGTACAAAAATGGCCTCAAGAGAGGCTTGTGAAAATGAGCTGGTCAAGTTTTTTACCAATAGGAACGAGGCCTTCTTCAATCGCGGAATTATGAAATTGCCTTCAAAATAGACAAAAGTTATCGAACAAAACGGCGCATATTTGATCTAAATCCGATAATCCTAACTTTGTTAATTTCATCGTCGAAATAAAGAGAAAAAACGCTCAGAACTTTTTACTTCACTCAATATATATGTAACCGCCGAATTGATATGGAATATTCCTTGAACTATTATCGAGGTCCCTACAGAGCCAGATTTTGCATTCCGACTGTCAAAAATTTACCATATATTAATAAAGCGTGTGTCGTACGAAACATCGCAGCGAGTCCCGCGAAATACCATGTACAAGAAAAAATATTTTACCTCTTTGCTGTCATATAACAGAACCAAATTGTTATAACATATTCCTCGATTTATCCTCGAGATCTTTACAAAGCCAGATTTCGCAATCAGGCCGTCTAACATTTATCATATATAAAAGACTGTACCGGACATTGCAGCATGTCACGTACAATACAATTTTGGAACATAAGAAATATTGCCTCGTTAACGTAATATATCACCATCAAATTGTTCGGCCGTATTCCTTGTATTATATCTAACGTCGCTATAAAGCAGGATTTTGATTATTAACACACACATATATATATATATATATACAGGGTGCACGATTTATCTGAAGACATTGAAATATCTCGAGAACTATGCATTGGATAAAAAAAAGTGGTTAATGAAAGTTGTTAGTCTCGAAGGGGGACATCCAATGATACCAAACTAGACCTCCCACCCCACCCCCTGGGGATGGGGATTGGGGGCAACTTTGAAATCTTAAATGGAAACCCCCATTTTTTATTGCAGATACGGATTCTACGCCACAAAGTACAGTAAATTTTGTCCGAAACTTTTATTTTGATTCGTGATAGATGGCGCTGTAATCGCAAAAAATTATATTTTCCGCAATTCTCCAGAAATGATCATTGGATTGAGAAATAAAAAATACCTGTTCAATATTTTTAAAGAACATAATAAAAGTTAGATATGCTCCCGCAGATATGCTTCTATCCTGTGTACAGTCATTTGAAAAAAGGATCAATAAGTGTATTGAAGTTGAAGGTAAAAATTTCGAACACTTACTCTAATTAATTGAACAGTGAGAGGCAAGGGGACTCACATTAAAAAAGCACCCCGATCTGTGAGAGGCAAGGGGACTCACATTAAAAAAGCACCCGAAGGGAACATAAAATACTACTACGTCCTCGTCGTTGTTCCTGTGTAACGCTAAAAGTAGTTTCTCGGAAAAATTCAACGCTATCTATCACGAATGAAAAAAATTGTTTCAATAAAAATTTCACGTACAATCTAATTCCGCAATGAAAAATGTGGGTCCCCATTTGAGATTTGAACGTTATCACCCACCCTACCCCGAGAGGATGGAGGGGAATAACTTTTATGTTCTTTAAAAATATTGAACAGGTATTTTTTATTTCTCAATCCAATGATCATTTCTGGAGAATTGCGGAAAATATAATTTTTTGCGATTACAGCGCCATCTATCACGAATCAAAAAAAAGGTTTCGGACAAAATTTATGTATTTTGTGGCGTAGAATCCGTATCTGCAATAAAAAATGGGGGTTTCCATTTAAGATTTCAAAGTTGCCCCCAACCCCTACTCCCAGGGGGTGGGGTGGGAGATCGAGTTTGGTATCATTGGATGTCCTCCTTCGAGACTAACAACTTTCATTAACCACTTTTTTTTATCCAATGCATAGTTCTCGAGATATTTCAATATCTTCAGATAAATCGTACACCCTGTATATACAGGGTGGTTGATAGCTGATCATGCAGACGAAAGTTGGAGATAGATTGGGTGTAGCCGAGAAGAAAAGTCATGTACCATAATGTCAAATTGGCAATAGTTACCGAGTTATTAATTAAAACATGTGAGCCAACGAGCGCGTAGAGAGCGGAGGGCGGCCGCAGTAAGCACGTAGACATTTGATACAGGCGGAGTCAGTGAGTAGCGGTAGACAAGCGCGCGCGGCGAGGGGCAACGTAAGCGACAAGAGGCGATCGCGCGCGACGAGGAGCGAGCGAGCTTTTTCTTTACAGCTTTTTCTTTATAGCTCGCTCGCTCCTCGTCGTTCGCGCTCGTTCGCTCTTCGTCGCGCTCGCTCGCCTCTTGTCGCTTGCGCTCGCTCGCTCCTCGTCGCGCGCGTTCGCCTCTTGTCGCTTACGTTGCCTCTCGCCGCGCGCGCTCGCCTACCACCACTCGCTGACTCCGCCTGTATCAAATGTCTACGTGCTTACTGCGGCCGCCCTCCGCTCTCTATGCGCTCGTTGGCTCACATGTTTTAATTAATAACTCGGTAACTATTGCCAATTTGATATTATGGTACATGACTTTTCTTCTCGGCTACACCCAATCTATCTCCAACTTTCGTCTGCATGATCAGCTATCAAACACCCTGTATACATATACAGGGTGTCTTATAACTAATCTGGCAGAGCTCGTGGAGACATAGAGCGGGTTAAGACAAATATAAAAGTCCCATACCGTTTTGTGAGATTCGCAATAATTATCGAGTTATTAATGACAGAAATCTGAGGAATGAGCGCGCACCGAGACGTTATGGGAGAAGCATCTAGCCGCTCAGGCTAGAGAGCACTGCCTAGTCGACAAAGGAATTGTTGCCGGCGTGCGGCAAGAGGAAGGACAACGCGCCAATGTTTCATGTCTTTACCTCGCCGCTCCTATATCTCGCCGCACCGCGTCTAAGCTCGCGCGTTATGGCCGCTGAATATTCGCGATTACAATTACGAGATTATTTTATGAGGTACCACAGATAGCTCATAATGAATTGTAAAGTTCAAGGTTCAAAAGTTCTTTGATCAAGGAAAACATCGAAAAGGAGAAAGCGATAGAGAGCGATGAGATCTACAGAGATTCTCATCGTTTTTTATCGCAATCTATCGTTTTGCTGCATCGGATCCGAAAGAAATGATATCGCATAAAGATAGAGTACGATGAACATTTTTCATCGTACTCTATTGTACTCTATCGTTAGGAGAATATTTAATTGTTAGAGTATGATAGAATTCGCGTAGAGACTCATCGTGTCCTATCGTTTTATTCAAGTCTACACGGAAAATATGTTTGGTTGAATGAACCCATTTTCTGACGAAATGAAAGAGTTATAATACTTATAATACATAACCGCTTATATATGCAAATTATAGATAATTATTGCGCGTATGTTTTAATATTGTACAATGGTATATAATAACAACAACTTCATTTTTTGCAGTAATATTTTTAAGATCTTCGTTGAGGTCGTGAATTTATTTTTTTCTTCATCAATCAGTTTTTTCCAAAAAGTAAGATTTTGTAAATAAAATATAAAATGTTTCTCTTTTCTTCTCTCCGAAGAGTTAATTAAAAATGTGTACTCCACAGAGTCAACTAAAAAATGTATATTCAGGAGAGTCAATTTAAAAGTGTACTCCGAAAAGTCAATTTAATAGCGTATTCCAAAGAGTCAATTTGAAAGCATACTCTGAAAAATAAAATTGATATTGTAATCCGAAAAGTCAATTTATAATATTGGGTGTGTGAGTATGACTCCCTTTCCCAACAGATATTGCTTTTAGTATTGTTAACGTGTACTAATAACTGGCAACACTTGTATCGATAGTACTTCATGTCAACTTTCAAACGCACTACGTGAAATTTGGTTTAAGTGTAAGCAACAAGTGTTTTACCCTACTTGAAAATGTCGGTTTTCGTTCCAAACAAACATCATTTGCGGGAAGTATTATTACACTATTTTATTGCAAAGAAAAGTGCAGCGGAAACTTATCGTTTGCTTGTGGAGATTTATGGTGATCATGCTCAATCTAATACAACTTGTAAGGAATGGTTTCGACGATTTCAAAATAATGATTCTGGAACTGAGGACAGAGAACACGGGAAACCACCAAAAAAATTTGAAGATGCTGAATTGGAAGCATTATTGACAGAGGATTGTTGCCAAACTATTAAAGGAGAAGTTTACCGACGACAACTAATGCGTTTGAAGCGAGCCATAGAAGAAAAACGGCCAGAATGGGTGAATAGGCACAGCAAATTAATTCTTCAGCATGATAATGCCAAACCGCATACCGCAGAAGTCGTGAAAAGATATTTAGATGGACAGGACTGGGAAGTGCTACTCCACCCACCATATTCGCCAGACATAGCTCCTTCAGATTACTACTTATTCCGAACGTTGCAGTCAGATCTTACGGGAGAACAGTTCACTTCATACGAAAGTATCAAAATTTGGCTTGATAATTGGATCAGCTCAAAAGACCAGGACTTCTTCAGGCAAGGAATACATAAATTACCT